TCCGCCCGAACTTCATTCTGCTCTTCACAAACCGCCCCTTTTCCTATACGTGTTCCGCATACGCTGAAATGGTTTACTAAGCAGCTTTCTAAATACCTTTTTTTGTTTCTTCACTCGTGTCCAGTTTCGAGCGTGTAAACCAAACACCGGTTACCACCACAGCTTGGCTTCTTTCTGGTACAGATTTAGTCCTATCAAAAGCCACAAAAGACTGCGATTCAACCGGAACCTGTCTACAAGTTTTGTTTGCGGAGTATCTCCGATCAGTAAATTCCGGCGTAGATTCAACTGACGATTCACGTTCTTTTGTTCGCATTCGATCCCTTCAGGCTGTGGATGCCATCCGAGGGTAGGTAACACAAACTGCTTCATTACAAAGTCCAGATTCCGGTTATCTTTTGATGTGATTTCATTTTCATGTTTTTTTATGTTTGTTCAACTTTCGAGTGATCGCAGAAAAAACAGTGTTCATATGCTTCAATCATTTTGATCGATTACTCCTGTTGTTCATTCGTAACTATATTTTAACCATTTTCAATGATGTAATTCAGTTTTTTCATCACCATCCGTACGTGGTTCTTTGCTTCTAGTGTAGTCACTAGCGGTGCTTTAGTTATTCATAGACAGTCGTTTCCGCCCCACACAATTGTCGCATTTTATTTAATTTGAATCCTATTTTTTCTGATCTTAGTGTTCATCGCTTACTCAAAGAATTTCGGTTCACAGAAGCCCGACGGTTGATGAATGAACACAAATTGTCCTCTGATGTAAGTTCGAATACGCGGTTAAATATATTTTATTCTGTTCGTACACTCAATTCAAGCATCCAATTGGATCCGCTAGCATGTAACCGCACACGTCACTTTTAGGGAGGACTTTATCCTCTGAATTTATTACTCTCTTCGAGAGGGCCAGAATAGTTGATCATCGCTTCCTAAATCGCCTCATGCATTTCCCTGTTTTTATTTTGATCGAGATACTCGAAACGTTCAGAATAGTAAGATTTGATCATTGCTCTTTCACTGGTTGTCAAAGTTCATTCGTACGGTTACCGTGTCTCGCGAGCGACTAGAAGAGGCGTCTATTCAACGAGTTCCAAAGAGCCAAATCTGTCATAAAAGCGATTAAATTAGACAAGTGAGGCGGGGAACAGCGCTTGCAGTGTAGGTGTTACGAGCAGATCTACGGCAGGGCGAACAACTTTACGCTAAACACAGTTAAGAAGGATTAGCCTATCTCATCCATGACGACAATATACAGATGAGGGACTATTCGGGCCTTGTAAAGTGAGAAGCTAAGATGAAGCCGGAAACCGCCGCGCGTTTAAAAAGTAAGAAATGTTCCTGGATGCATAGGGTGCTATTTTAGGAAGAAAAATAGACCAAGGTATGCCGGATTTTATTTATTTCACACTTGTCAGGCCAGACTGTGTGCCAAGCAAATCATGGTACAACAATCTTGTATTGTATTGGGTATAACTTTTGCAAGCACGAGCTCACATTTCAGTTGAAAAATCATGCCCGCTAACCGTCACAATGTATAAAATAAACGGTGAGAAAAGTTTTTACAGACATGGGGACATTTCATAATCCAAGGTTAAGACAAAGTTCACTTATTGTTCGCTATTTATTAATGAGCAGATGAGCAAGAAACGGTACAGGTTAATTGCGGTAAGCGTTAATTCGAGATGAAATTTGACAGAATTGGGAGCGTGTTGAATGACGAGAAGAACGTGTCAGTTCTGCGTGCAATGGGTAGTCAGGATCTGTGAGAATCCTCTCAGCAAATTTGATACAGGAAGGTACGTGATACTCTAACAGCTTTAAAGCAAACTCATTCGCATGATTAGAAGAGACGGCTAATTATAGTTAGACCGCGGCGTAAGACTTTGAAATCCTGTTTGAGTAAGCCAGCAAAAATAACTGGGGAACAGTAGAGTAAGATGGGGAAAAGACATTGATAAACAAAGGTAGAAATAACTGACTGGGATGCGCGAAACTGCCTGAGCTTTCTAATTTGAAATGATAGGCGCCGCAGTTTACCAATGCAGTTGTGGATGTGGATTGACCAGTGAAAATTGCTGTCTATGGTTTCACCGAGATATTTGACAGAATTCACCCTGGATAAAGGATTGTTACTAGTTACCATGGAGTTTGTGGGATATTGGGAACGAGCAAAACTATATAAACATTCAACACTTACTGGGGTTTAGGGTTATCTCCGATGAGGAGGAGAAAGACTGAATTTAATCAAGATTGTCGGTGAAGAACCTTAGATCAGAATAAGAAGAAATGAACTAGCACAGCATTACGTCATCTGCATATTTTAAATTCGTGCGGGAGAAACATAGGGAATTTCACAAATATAAGTGGAAAGTAAGTATGGGGATAGCACAGCTCCATGAAGAACCCCGGAGTTGTTGACTAAGGGTTTAAATGAAGACTTCCTCAATCTAGTGGTTTGTACTCTATCAGTAAAATAGTTAGCCGAGCTAATAACTTCTTGGAGCATTCAAATGATTCCAGTTTTTGTAACAACTTAGATCTAGGAATGGAATCACATGCTGAAGAGTAGTCCAGAAGAACACCGAACAGACTTAACAGAGCTGTCCGAAGACTAAGTGATAAAATGCATGAGGGTGGAGACTGCGTCCAAGGTGAATTTATTAGGCTTGTAAGCAAACTGTAACGGATCACTGGGAATGTTTATATACCGCTGAAGGCCTTTAAGGATGGCATTTTCAGTCACTTTACGAGCTGAAGATGTTAATTCTATGGGGCGAAAACTTTTGGAGCGGATAGAAGATCTGGCCGCTCTGGGGATTGGTATGATTGTGACCGGCCTCCAGCAGTCGGGGATAGTAGAAGTGTCAAGAGATTCATTGATAATGGAGGTGATTTCCCCGGGCTAAGGAAGCAGCACCAAATTTGAAGAGGGCTGGATGTAAGTCATCCGGACCGGCAGCAGATGACGAGTTGCAACTATCTGAAAGTTTAAACACATCACAGTATGAGAACGGATCCACGTTACAAACATTATGTGACGAGTAGGCAGGAAGAATAGCTTGTATATAGCTCGCTAAAGCTTCAATAGAATACGATACAATACAATCGATCTCATTCCAGACTTCAGGTGTAACAATTTTGTTTCTTGCTTATTTTCACAACACAACAAGTTTTCGTGACTATTCAGTGCTCTTCGCATTTTTCAATGTGCATCGATGAGTCGTCTGAGAAGCGACATTATTTTACAATAAATCCCATGTTTTGCTTCATCCCGAGGAATGACTCCGTGTGCATCGTTCTTTTGTTACTATAACCATCTCCTGATCTTTTACAGATCTATCAGTTAATTGTGATCGCGGAATTGCACTGGTTGCTGTGTTTACTCACGGACGTTTCTTCCGATCAGTCGGTAAAGTCGGCGCATCCCGTGGACCTACCAAAAGGAGGGGACAATGAGGAACACCTTTCGAATCAAAAAATCTGTGAAAGGGTTCTTTTTTGTCTTGAGGACACGAAAGTGAGACCCCACTGATTGTAAATTATGTATTTTCCTTAATTTCCTGTTATGATGTTTAGCACTCATCTATAAATGAAAGTTGCAGTTTCATCTTTCATACCTGGAGGGAACTGGAAAAGTATTTCAGACATACACAGTGATATAGATTACTGCAGAGGGATTTACAGTCAGGCGTTTTATTCAAAATTTTTCACAAATACCCATGTGCACTTTTTTCTCCGATCAACGGTTGAGGAGCATTCCGTTGCTGGCACACACTTCGCGGCATTGTTATTGACAAACCTCCGTTTAGGGTTGTTTTTCTTAGAGAGGAAAATAGGTATCGATCAACACTCGGTTTCTTCAAAGCGGAAGATAATTTGACCGCACTAACCGAAAATCATCGAAAAATATCGGTGGTAGACCTTAGTATGTGCAAGTGCAGTATCCTATGGTGAGAATTCATACATTCCACAGTACGGTTTCATGGATCTCCCCTCACCCACGGCAAGACCAGTAGTATTGCTAATCATCGATAACTTGCTTCGCCTCTGCCGTGTGTCTCAGTTCAATTCGAGATGGTTTTCCGCATACACTTAGTTTTAAGTTCATATTTCACTCAGTTACTTTTGAGTGGTGTTGTTGTTGTGTTATTTATTTGAACTAACCATTCTTCAGGCTCCATCTTCACTCGAAAGTCTCGGTTATTCTACGTCATCCTACATTATACGAGCACTAGACTAGAGTTTCGCACTCTTTAGAGCTCATGAGCGTTTTCCGACTCCTCTAGGCTTTGAGCTGTGGGCCCATTGCATTAAAGGTGCATGTTCTACCACTGAGCCAATCAGCTCATGCCAAAGGTGAGCCGAATTGCCAATCTATTTCGTTTTCGGAGATAGTCGGTCATTTCTTTTGGCGAAACAGCAAAACAGAGAGACAGGAAATATCTTTTAACTGCAATCAAAAACCTCTCACCAAACCAGATCTACTTTGTAAGTCTGGTGTGCTGTCTCGATTAAACCAGCAAAACGATAGTTTTNAGTTTTTAATTCGCGTTGAATTCAAAGTTGCTTATGAGTTCAAAACTCTGACGGTGGATATGCACTATTGGCGAACCCTGCTAAGAGCGAAACTTAAATCTGATGCTTCTCGATTTTACGGTTGATTGGGTGGAGTGCGGATTGTGCTTGAAAATAAAATCTGACAGAGGGTTAGTTGAAATCCATGAGTGTTTTTACACCTAGAGTTCAGATAATATTTTTGTTCTTTCTTTAACGTGTAATTCTCATCGCTTCTATTTGTGATTTCAGTGCCTTTGGTCCCGGATCGATCTTATTGAGCGCCTTCTGGATGTGTGTATGCCAACCTCTTCTATGCAGATGAAACTACTCCTGTTGCTTAAAGATAAGGTATGTCCAAATGGAAGATAAATCCTTCGTCCACAGACATTACTCAGAAGTTTTATCATAGGACATTTTGATATTGTGCAACGTGGGCATCAACCATGCTCACTGGTAACCTGAAGTACAGGTTCCTGTGATCATTTCCGAACGAGATGCTTCAACCAACACGAGTATTAAGGCGTTAACTGAAGCAATAAGCGGGGTTTGCTACTTCTTTCATTAGCCAGGTGTTGCGGTACCGCGTGTCAGACCACAACTACCTTCGCCATGTGTATGCGGAACATCCTTGGTAAGCGATTAGTGAGGGTTGATTTTAGCGAGTGGAGTTGGTTCTTGCTTTTGATCTAGTCCGTTTTGGAGGACTGTTAAACGTACTGGATAACATAACTTTACGCGGTCTAACCGTCTTTGTGTTGTGAGTTTGGAACGCTCACCGAAACACATTGACAGCTTGGCGCGAACTGGTGCTTGATCGGATTCAAGGGGACCTCCCAGATGCTTCTTGCTAGAACGCAACCGATCTGTTGTAGCATTTGTATATCCTGCTAGGATCACGATATCAGGCCGGTTTGATTTTGAAAACGTCGTTTTGTTTTTGGTGGAAGCAGTCTTTATTATACATCTGGGCTATAGTCCGTTACTGTGTACGCCGAGGCGACAAATAAGTTCCATCTATCGAGGCGATGACTGCTCACTACACGAACCTCTATGTGTAATTGTGCACACCTGATTAACTACTAGGATCCCAGATAGGAGCGTGGCTTCAATTCTCTCTGTGAATTCTACCTCAAAGCCAGCAAGACCGAAAACCGCAGCCTCATGGTCCGCAGAAAGGTGTAAATGAAACTTCGCAGAATGGTCTGATGGGGACATCTCTCGATTGATGAAGTTGTAGTTCTGTATTTTAACCACTTGGACACAACACACAATGGTAGCTAAGGCGTTCGAGAGTACTCTCTGAACACGTCTGTTGTCCTATGCACATCAGAGTACCCACAGTAAATGTGGCTAGTTCGAAGGGTCATCGATGACGACGAAAAGCTTCAACTTATGAAGCTGTATTTGTTGAAACTTGGGTGGTAGTGGGGGCAGGACGCGATAGAATGGGGGTAGGGTTTCCATCTAAGACAGTGCCGTTAGTACAATCGTCTGAATATCCCGATGCGACCGGCAATCGGAGTTTTACAAATCGCCATTGTATTAGTGTGTTGGCTTAGCTGGAAGTTTTGTTTGCAGACGTTTCACAGAACACCATCCACATCAGCATCCCGGGCTGCAGTCACTTCACATTATTCCCAAATAGCCATCGGGTTGCTTGTTAGCGAAATATGTTAGAGCTTCATATCAGGCTATGCAAAGTGATGCTACTAAGCCCGAGCAATACAAATTAAACCAGATGGTACAGTTTGACCGTGGGAAATTATGATAACCAAACAACCAATACAGGCGCATATATATTTTTGAATGCAATCCGGTTTTATATTCAGTTTACAGTTGCTTGTACGTAGTGGTGTGGAATAAATGATATTGATTTGACTGATGACGCTACGATTTCACCTCTATCAAAATCTTCAATTCAATCAATCAACCATACATTGGGCATTATGAGTCTTTTTCGTCAATATTATTCAGAACTAATCAGCAATAAGTTAGAGTGATACGGAATTGGTTGATTGAAAAGGAGTTCGGATTGGTCCTTGGGCAAGCGCGCAAAGCTTATACTCCTTTCGTGTATATGACCGCACCGTACCTTCATAGTCCGTGCACTATTTTTCTATGGATAAAGGTGGCAGAATTAGTTCAATTCATATGTTGTTACATTACTCGAACAGAATGCCTCTGCGGGTATCCCCGGGCCACGACCTTCGGCCTTATGAGACGAAAAATTCAAGGTGCAGTAGAACGTGCTGTTACCCGTTTGTTGCCCTGGNTACAAATTGGTTTTATGGGACCCAGAGGCAGAAAAGGAGCAGCAACGTGCGAACGCATAGCTTTGCTTTTTGACAACGGCGAATAAACGCGGTTTTGAAATGGGGAGGGTTGTTAAATTTAGTGTATAGGTGGAAAATCCACCGTCAGTCGTGCTCATACAAACGAAAATAATTGAATGACACCAGAATGGAAAGTACTCACGTAAGACACGTTGATGATGTTTATTGTAACCATATCGAGAGATAAAGTAGGAACATGGCGGTTTAACATCTAATGAATTGCGTATAGTGGGGGACTGCTATACTGATTTCGAGACAAAACTTCCAATATCTTAACATTCCAACTCATTTAATGATCGTAGGCAGGTGATTAACAGCACGCAAATTCGATGGCCGATATCAATGTGGCTCAAATGTTGCAAATTTTTATTGCAATAGATCAAAGTGAAGGGGTTTTCCAATTTTTCAGTTTGTTTTTTGATTCATCTAAGGTAGTTCTTCGGAAACGAAAAGTAAAATGGTATACATTGTCAAATATTGATCTTTGACCTTTCAGGTGTGCAGGTTTTATATATTATTCTCAAGAGAACGGGATGTCACCGTAATAAAGTGAACGTAATCTAGGTAATCGTGTGTAAAAATGTGACAAAATCCATGCACGGGAGTAAGATCTGCAAACTGCATTCAGTGTTTCTTTAAGAAGTCATTAAGTTGAATTAGTTATTATGCAGTGTTGCGCTGTAATTCTGATTCATAAGCAGACCTCCTTTAGACTACACGATCCAGCACTCCTGCATTCTACGTAGATCGATGGTTCTGTAACCTCAAATCGTCTTCAGGGTAGTTGCTTAATATTGTTCTAGTTTTCATAAATTTCCCTTTCCTCTAGGAGTTGAGGGAGAGCTTGTTCTTACCTCCATAATGTTCTTACAGAGTCCCTTTGCCGTAGAATTCTCACGCTGTTTCCTCTTAGTGAGTGGTGTCGCAATAATAGGGGGCACGAGAGACCCAGATCCATGTCTATACCCGTCTACATAAACCACAGAGATGTAGCTCATCTGGTACTGTTGAAAAATCCTTATTTCAGATATCCTAGATATAAGTGTACAAACTCGCTCAAAGGTGTCCTGTTTGTGACGACCACCGTTTCACTTACGCGATAGGGTGCGTTGAACCAGGTGAGATTGAGAACCACGTCGCAATACTGAAAATCCGACTAACTGACCATCGGTCCGCAGCAAATTGCGTCTCGTTCTCGCGACCCCTCTTGCTTCCAAGCCGGGTTTTCGTTAGTCGAGGATTCTTGGTGTAAATCTCCAGTCCCAGTTCGTATAATTTAACAATGTACTAATCGAATCACTGATGTTTGATACAGTCCAGATCTAAACAGTTGTGGAAGACAAACATGCATAATTGTGCTAACGGAGCCTCCTTATTCTAAGTTATTTTTCTTGGCGGACCGATTGGGTGAGTATAATGATCAAGGGACAGTGAAACACTTAGGAAAAGTAAGAAACTTCACAAGGTTATTGCCCATTCTGTGAAAATATTTAACTTGGTACTATTTGTTATTTCTGGAATATCAAACTTCATTTTGCTGTGCGCGAATAAGTTTACCCTCGTCTTTTTCGCGTCAGACGCTTTATTTTATGTGTTCATCAGCACACACAATTATTCAATATCATTTGCGTCGATTTTGTTTCCGGAATTTGCATATGATGTCGTTGTCTGCAGAATTCTCCGTACCGTACTTATTTTGATATTCTTACATGCAGAAAACGGTGTTTGCGAAGAAATTTCGTTTCGATATATCGCATCAGGCGGTGACATATATAAGGCGATCATAGAGCACATCTGATTGAGTGATTAACGCTCAGTTTATGTATAAAGTTATAACAGCTGTCATCAGCCAATCAGATATCCGTCCATGGGCATATTTTACAGATTCCCATATATATAAAATTTCAGCTGATTACCGAGGAGCAGTCATATGAAACACAATTAAAAATCTACTCGGACAAAGTGAGTCGATTGTTATTAATGAACTTCGAATCTATTTCATCTCAGTTGTTTTTTTCTCAGGACTAACGCTGTTTAGGAAATCGTTTTTTTTTCAGTATTAACTTTAATGCATTCGTTTATGCCCCCAAATCCATGGAACTTTTACCCTTGGGGTTACTTACAACACTTTTCTGAATGAATAGTTTTCGATCACCAACTTATAGTCAACCAAAACTTATCTGACCATTTAAACTAGCTGTTGTGTCCGTTGCGAACTCGGTCAAGTTGTTTAAACGGTGAATGGATACTAAATTTTGAATGCAAAGACCGAGTGTGATCCGTTAATTCTTTTGAGGTAGTCTGTGATGTGTTATCACTGATGAAGTTGAAAACAAAAGTGACGTAACAATCGGAAACCCTGTCATTGAATGGCCATCGGAAGTTTCTTCAAGTTCGTCAACATTCTCTGATGGCTCTGATCAGTAATCACTTCGATGAAGCATAATGGTCTGCAGGCAATTGCGAATGGTCAAGTGCTCAATCTACGCTATCCACTAACAATAATTGGGATTTTTCCGTGTATGCCTGTCCCTAAAAGGGAATAATCAATGACTGCTTGTGTAGGTACGGGTTTAAAAGATGAATTTCGATAATTACATGTAATTAGGCATAATTTTTCACTTGAAATCTAACGTACATAGAAAGGTGAACAGTATGAATAAATTTTCAGCTCTATGCAGTTATTCCAGATTCACGTAACTGTTCATGAATCACATAAAATGTCTGACGGAGTCACTTTCAATCTGTAACCTGTTTTCAAGTAATAATAGAATCAAACTTGGTCCATACCGTTTATTTCAACCAAGTCGATCCACCTAGACTACTTTCAGGAATCAGGGTAGTCATATCTCTGTTTTTAAACTAAGTTTACAATTCCCCTCAGTGTCAGAAATCTGGTTTCTGTTGATTTGAGGAAAAGTGGGTTGGTCAAGTCATTGTGTCGGTGCACTTCAGTATGTGAGGAACAGCAGAGGAAGCAAATTCAGACAGCCATCGATCACCTTTCGGTGCAGTTGTGCTGCTCCCTTTTTCAGCTGTACAAAGTGACGCTGAGCTTATTAAGCTGATTTGCTCTTTTACTGAGAATAGACGGAAGGCAAAAAAGTTTTAACACATTATAATTGACAATATTTGAGCGAGAAAACATTGGAGTAATTACTGTAGAATGCAAAATCCTCCGGAAAATGTAAACCCTGTGAAAAGGGTTCTTCCACGTGTTGTTTGCATATATCTGGATAATTCGAAAGATTAGAAAAAATTTCAGCCAGCTCTCGGACAGGCACCTCTACCTCAGCATTGCATGCATTGTTCTAGTTGAGAAGGAGCATTGAATCCTACATGACTTAGTCTCGTAGAAAGGGGTTCCACCTTTCTGCTCACGCCTGTTATCTATTCAAACCTGTTCGTGTATCTCAATGGAAACGTTGAGATCTCAGGTTTCTCCAAAATTAGTATTCCTGTTGCATTGCAGTTTTNGTTTTGTTATCTTGGGATAATTTGATAAAGCACGTGATCAGATTTTGGTTATCCATTCATTTTTGTTACTGACAGGTGTCGTTGTCTGCTTTCTACAGATCTATTCAACTTTGAAGCGACTGAAATCGTTCCTACTGTTGACTGGACCCAATGGCTTCAGGTATAGTGTATCACATTCTTACGAATTGTATTTTATGTGCTAGTACGGCTTCAATATGTGCCTTTATTCCTCGCAATTAGCTCCACGTATTCCCCTGTACTTGCTTGATATAGTCGTCAGTTCACGTCTAACGGATTTATATGTGAGATGTAACCAGTGATGCGATGCATGTTTTCGGTGTACCGAAAATTGCAGTGTATATCTGCTTGAATCTCAGTTGCTGTAATTCCGTAGGGTTCTTTAGGTCAACGTCAAGGTCATGCATCCTCAAGAGAGAAGGCCGAATAGTCTCGAGCCGCATTCTAACCCAAACCAAAAGCAGAAATAAGACCTAATTATTTACGAAGAACTAAACGATGCAATGTGCATAATAAATTTTGGCGTTCCTCCCGTTGTACGCCTGGCGAGAAAAATGACAATCCCAACTGAGTTTCAGGTTTTTCAACCAATAGCCCAACTGAAAGGCAAACGTGCAAACAAGGAAGCTTGCCACTGCGCCAAGAGAGATAAGGAGCAATTGTAAAACGCACAATCACCAGGCTATTAATATATGCCACGGGTGGCTATTTTTCTACACACTTTAGTATGATGTACCGCAGGCGGGGTAAACCCAATAGTCACGAAGACCTGCAGCTCAGTAATGGAAACCGGCAACCTAACCTCCGGGAATTGTAGGCCCTCTAGGTTAGGCGTGGTATTGATCCCGACGACTGCCTACCACCAAAGTTGGGTGGTGGTAGCTCGAACCTCGAAGCATAGGGTCCAAAGCCCGCCGGTGACAGCGACTAAACTGCTACAACACCACCGCCTATGGTATCAATCGGAATAATCCCAAGCAGTCTGATCACCGATTGGACAGCAGTTAAAAATCATCACGACGAGACTGCACCTTGACATGGTGTAATGGCTTGTGCACCTCTTTGACCCAACGAGCTACACAGAATGGCTGTTATCAAGCCAGTAGATCCTATCATTCCTGGAATGTCAGTGGTTAGAGGTCAGACGAAGTTCAGTCTCCTGGTCCTCCAGGTTGGGGGTTCGACTAGAATTTGCGTCTCAGTCGGTAAAAAATGGTGGAGGAGTAATCGATCCAAATAAATGGGGTCCTACTTCGCTTCACTCGCTGCCTTGCGGTTAGCTTCTTGTTAAAGGCTTTGGTTGAGAACCCTAATCGTTCTCCTCCTTAGTGGCTGGACACCCTGGCAGTACTCATCCATTAAACCTCAAAGCAGACACAAAATAAAAGTGGTTCCATCCTGCATCCATCGTCGCGCAGAATTATCAGGATCGCGCTGTCCATTGCATCGAGCGGGGTGGGTAGTAATAAGTGGGCTACTGCTCAGATATCCCAACATTTGTTTAACGGTAAAGAGGATTTCGTCGTGTATAGAGTAAATGAATCGTGAACTGAAAAACTAGAAAGCACTGGACAGCCGTTTCTACCTGGTTGGGTCTCAT